AACGCTGTACTGGGTGTGGCGGGCGCATGTGCTACCCCCCACTGGGGCCTTCGGTGGAGCTCCCTATGGGGCCACGAAGCGCTGTACTGGGTGTGGCGGACGCATGTGGTACCGCCCACTGGGGCCTTCGGTGGAGCTCCCTATGGGGCCACGAAGCGCTGTACTAGGTGTGGCGGACGCATGTGGTACCCCCCACTGGGGCCTTCGGTGGAGCTCCCTATGGGGCCACGGAACGCTGCACTGGTGTGGCGGACGCATGTGGTACCGCCCACTGGGGCCTTCGGTGGAGCTCCCTATGGGGCCACGAAGCGCTGTACTGGGTGTGGCGGACGCATGTGGTACCCCCCACTGGGGCCTTACGTGGCGCTCCCTATGGGGGCACGGAACGGTGCACTGGTGTGGCGGACGCATGTGGTACCGCCCACTGGGGTCCTCGGTGGAGCTCCCTATGGGGCCACGAAGCGCTGTACTGGGTGTGGCGGACGCATGTGGTACCCCCCAACGGGTCCTTCGGTGGAGCTTCCTACGGGGCCACGAAACGCTCCCTATGGGGCCACGAAGCGCTGTACTGGGTGGGTGGAGCGCATGGAGGAGGGAGGAGGGGCAGGAGGAGGAGAGGAGACGCGGGGACATGGTTGGGGGAAAAACTCAAATGGCCAAGCGGCACAACCAGAACGCTGATGGCCTCATGTTGCTCGTGGGTAAGTTCGGGCGGTGCATCCCCGCTGCGGAGTTGCTATCCTCAGCCGTCTCGATGCACATGTTCGAGCATCCTCTGAATCATATTTTCCAATGAAACGAGTGTTCGTGAACGCGGGGTTTAGGGTCCTGACGACCTGGGCGCACTTGTGTTGCTCCTTGGTGCTGGTCAATATGCCTCCCCACCACACGCGAGACGGCTTGACGAAAAGGGAATGGCCAGCAGCTGACTCGACTAGGGGCAGGTGCCCGATGAGCTTCCGTTCAGACTTCGATATGTGGCCACCCACGCACATTTGCGTCTACATGTTCGTCAAGTTTGCTGCGGGGTAGTCTTGGGGTGGGGGTTCTCCTCCTTCTCCTCCTCCTTCGCCTCCTCCTCGCCACAGTCCCCCTCTGCTTCGTCCTCCTCCGCCTCCTGTTGCGCAGGAGGGGCAAAAAGGGAAGAATAGAGAGCGAGGAGCAGCGCGGAGGGACGGTGGTGGGGGGTGAGCGAGGCGGCGCGGAACGGGAGGGAAAGGAGGGCCAGGGAACGGCTCCTTTTAGACAGCCCAAGTGATGGCAGACGGCAGCAGGGGAGCTCCGCATGTCCGAGCAAATACGCGTGGCGGGCTCAGCGCTCGGCCGGCGCCTCGCTGGGTTACGATTTTGCAGCAGCAGCAGTGCAGGCGTCCTCCTCCTCCTCCTCCTCATCCCTTCCTCCCTTTCCTCCTCCTCGCCAGCCCGTTTGACTCAAGTGTGTTGCGATGGTTCAAACTGGGGCTTGCGACCGCAGCGCGCAGATGCTTGGCGGCAGCCCGCAGCGCGCTCCTCGCCTCGCACGCCGCCCCTGAGCTAGCTGCCGCGCGCTCCTCGGAGGACGTGCGGCTGCTGCGAGCCGCCAAGGGGCTCATCCGCACGGCAGTTGCTGTGCTGGCCGCGCCTCCCGCGATCGCCACGCCCTTGCGGGCGGCGGCGTCCTCCGCGGCCCCTCGGCGGCGGCGCCGCCCGCGCGGCGGCGGCGGGAGGGCTGGCGATGCTGGAGGTGCGGCGGCCGTGGCCGTCGTGATGGCGGATGGTGATGATCTCGCGGTGCCGCCTGCTCCGCCTGCGGCTGCCACGCCGCCCTGGGCTGACCCCAGCCCCGGCGGCTGCGGCGCCGAGCGCGGCGTTCCCGCACCCTGCAGGAGCAGACCGAGGCCGCGATGCCTCTCGACGATGGCTGGGAGTTCGACGACAGCTGGGCCGATGCGCTGCCCCCGAGGCGTGCGGGCCCCCCCGCCGTGGAGGGCGCCCGCGGCGCTGCGGCTGTGTCGGCGGCGGCGCCGCCTGCGGCTCGGAGGTCTCGCCTCTGCGGCCTCCCCCGTTGGCGGAGCTCCGCGTGTGTATCCTGGTGGAGCTTGCTCTGCAGAGCACGACCCAGCAGTCACCCCCCGTCTCGTCGAAGCACCTCGGCACCTGGAGCGTTGAGCAGTTGAACGAGCTCTCCGAGTCTCTCGAGTGGCTGAGGTGCCTTCCATCAGTGCACCAATTCATCATGTATCCTGGGGGCCCTCGTGGGCGGTATGTCCACCGGAAGGTATCCAGGAGGGGGCTGCAGTTGGGGCCCCACGAAAGCGGTTCGTCCGCGGCGAAGTGTCCCCTCTGGTGGCGTTTCACGCGTTCCTCGCGACCCTCTGGTCGCCACCCGAGGCTCCCAGGGGGCGCATCGGCCTGCGCTCCTCCTCCTCCTGTTGAACCTTCCTCCTCCTCCTCCTCCTCCTCCTCCTCCTCCTCCTCCTCCTCCTCCTCATCATCATCATCATCATCATCATCACCATCACCATCACCATTAGCAGCAGCACCAGAAGCAGCATCCTCATCACCATTCCCATTCCCATCCCCACTATCATCATCAGATTCATCATCATCATCAGCAGCATCATCATCACCATCATCCTCAGCAGCAGCATCATCATCATGATCAGCATCAGCATCAGCATCATCATGAGGAGCAGCAGCATCATCATCAGCAGCATCATCACCATGAACGCATCAGTATCATCACCATCATCAGCATCAGCATCATCATCGTCATCATCAGGAGCAACAGCAGCATCAGCATTACCAGCAGCATCAGCATGAGCATCATCATCATCAACATCATCAGCATCGGCATCACCAGCATCAGCCCCATCAGCATCAACATCAGCATCAGCATCATCAGCATCATCAGCATCAGCATCATCATCGTCAGCATCATCATCAGCATAATCGCATCACCACCACCACCATCGCCATCATCACCGCCGCCATCACCACCACCACCCCATCAGCATCAGCATCCTCATCATCATCGTCATCAGCATGCACATCATTAGCAGCAGCATCAGCATCAGCATCCTCCTTGTCCAAATCCTCCTCATCATCATCAGCATCAGCATCAGCATCAGCATCACCAGCAACATCACCATCGCCATCACCATCACCATCTTCATCAGCTTCACCATCATCATCATGACCATCATCGTCATCATCATCATCATCATCATCATCATCATCATCATCATCACCATCACCATCACCAGCATCAGCATCATCATCAGCATCATCAGCATCATCATCACCAACACATCATCATCATCATCATCATCATCATCATCATCATCATCAGCATCAGCATCAGCATCAGCATCAACATCATCATCGTCGTCAAACGTATCGTCCTCATCATCCTTGGCCGTGTCCTCTTTCATTGTCTTTGTCCTCTTCTCCTCCTCCTCAGGATTCTCCTCTTCTCCTCCTCCTCATCATCATCATACTTCTCCTCCTCCTCTTCCTCATCGTCCTCCCCCTCCTGCTCTTAATCCTACTGCTGCTGCTCGTCCTCCTCCTGCTCTTCCTCCATCTCCTCCTTCTCCTCTTCGTCCTCCTCCTCCTCATCCCCCTCCTTCCCCCCCTCCTGGTCCTGTCATATTCGGTTTTCGCGGTACCGATCCCCACCTGGAGGGGGTACGCTGGGAGGGATAAGTTACCCTACTCTGGTGGGGGTGGGGATAGCTCTGACGATGCTGGGGAAGGTGATAGGGGAACCGTGGGGGGGAAAACAAATCCGTATCGGCGGCCTCGCGGGCCAAGCCCCTGGCCCGCGACCCCGCGGATACGGGGCGTTGTTTCGCGGATGCCCCGCGCGGAACGTACCCGTGCGACCGCGTATCCCCGGGATCGCGCCCCGGAGACCGCGAAAGCGCCGATACGCCGCTCGTGAACCGTGGCCCTCGCGGCCGGAACTGGAGCGGCACGGGCCCGATACATCGAAACGGAAGAACTGCATAACTATAAACATCCTGAGTTCCGTGAAGTTTACTTGGAGCCCTTGTCTTCAGACCAAAAGCTTCAGTTTGCTTCGTGGTTACGAGCCTCCGCAGCAAACTCAACTACGGCCTTTTCCAGGCGCTTCAAGACGGTCGTCTGAACTTCTACCCAAGCAATCCAACCAGATTTCTGAGGAGCCGTTTGGCTGTACAGTCGGTCTCGGTGGCGAAGGGCGAGTTCCGTCCTGGGTTTTAACCCTATATCGTTCGACAGAGCGCTGGTACAATCTAGAAGGGTCTAGTCGCTTTCTTCCTGGCTTTCCCACTGAGCGGGCTGGCGGTTTGGGTTGCGTGTTTCTCAATTGCTACGGGGTTGTGAGGCTATGGCTGGGCGCTCGATGTACTTCAATGTGCTGGTCTTCTGGATCGCTGCTGGTGTACACCTTCTGGCTCACATGCACTCACACGCTTGGGAATTTGTATGATTGCATGGCGAGGGAAGTACGCCATGCTTAAACCATGAGCCCTGCACATCGCGTCTTTCACCCCCCTCCCGCGCAAGAGTGGTGGTGCAAGGCCTATTTCAATCGCTGTCCGCCGGCATGTCCTCGGCTGCATCATCGTTATGGGTATGTGTTGTCAATTGGGAGTTGGGAGCGGTGCTTTATGTATGTCGATTGGATTTGGCAAGCTGAATATACAACCTCGTGTGTGGGTACGAAGCCTGCGCCTACTGAACCTCGTTATGCCCGTTCGTCATTCTGCATAGTTATAAGCTCAATTTGCTCAATTTGCTCATGGCGTTCCAGGCGGAGTGAGTGAGCATGGTCATCTTTGAAGGTGCTCTGGTCGACACCCGCGTGTTCCCGCCAGCTCTGGCTTGCTCGTCGTGGGGGCCTGAATCTCCCAGAGCACAGAAGTGAGTTGAGGCGCGGTTCGAACTTGCATCACGACGTGATGGCAAAATCCCTCGAGACCCTCCTACTTTTCCTCCTGCCCCGTTCCTTCCCGTCCTCCCCCATTCCCCCTCTCCCGTTCCCTCGCGCCCGCCCGCGTGCGCACGCGGGAAGCAACCAACACACAAGAACAGGGGCCAGAGTACGTGTGCGCGTGCTGGAAGTGAACGGAGGAGGCTACGAGCTGGGAAGTGGACCTCACGTCGCTTTCGGCGATTATCTTCGGCGATGCCTGGCGGTCTGCGACGACCTCCCGCGGCACCTCGCGGTCTCAGGCGGAACAATGAGGATACGATCGGACACCAAGAATCTAGGAAAGAACGGGGGATCATCAAGAAAGGACGGGGAACCACACCCTCGCCTGCGCACCAGCCAGGCCTATGTGACCGCGTCAGCACGGGGACAAGCCCCGCATACATTTGTAAACATATATGTACATGAACGTCAATCAATCGAGCAGTCACGAGTGCGACAACATGCGAGCTCAACATTCGTGCGCGTGGCGAGCGGGAAAAAGCCACAACGCACGACGGAGCTGCGCTACTGCCGCGTGTTGCCAGAAATCTCTAGGCGGCCAGAAAAGCCATTGGGCGTTCCCGTTGATGAGGTGAGCTGTGGAAGGGGAGGAAGGGAGGGGGAGGGGGCGGGGGAAGCGAGGGAGGGAAGGAGGGAGGGAAGAGAAGAGGCATGGATGGGGACGGAGGGCTGGCGGGAGGCTGAAGGTCGCAATGAGACCATGGGGGTGTTTCCCTGCAGGAGGGGCAGGCGGGGGGGGGTGAGAGCAGGGAAGGGGAGAGCGGAGACAGCGTCCTCGGTGCACGCTTCACCACCACCACTTCCATAAAAGTCGGGAGAGGGGGTCCGATCCCGCCACCCCACAACTCTTGCGTAAGTCGAAGGGGGTCCAAACTCCGCCCCCTTCTCGTCGTCGCCGTCGTCGTCGTCGCCGTCGCCGTCGCCGTCGCCGTCGCCGTCGTCGTGCGTCGCGATGTGGGGGCGACGCCTTCGTCGTCGCCGTCGGCGTCGTCATCGTCGTTTGCTGGCGAAGTAATCGGTCGGAAGGGCGGGCGGGACACGTCGTCGTCGTTGTCGTCGTCGTCACGTGCCACCGCCGGGCGTCATCGCCGTCGCGGTCGTCATCGTCGTGGCCGCCGCCGTCGTCGTACGCGACTTCGCTGGTCGGGATGGCAGAGCGCGTCGTCGAAGTCGTCGTGGGCGAATTGATCGTACAAATGGGTCGTTTTTGTTGTCGTTGCCGCCGCCGCCGTCGTCGTCGTCGCCATCGTCGTCCTCTTCGGCCTTGTTGTCGTCATATGTTTCGTCTTACTCGTCGTCGTCGTTCGTCGCGACGGGGGGCGCGGTCGCCATCGCAAATGCTCTCGACGTCGTGGTTGTCGTGGTCCTCCGGGACCCCTGGGGTGCGAAAGCCAGCGCCTCGACCGTGACATCCTCACAGACTGCTGCGAACCCCAAGATGCTGGACACACAGACAGGCAGACCGCCCGAGACCTCCCCGCAGTCTGGGCTCGAACGGAAACGTGCAGTACTCGCTCTGACGCCCCCACGCGGAGGTACGAAAATCAGCGCCTCGCCTGAGACATCCTCGCGAACGGCTCCAAAACCGGACAGTTCTGGGCATGCAAACAGGCAACCGCTCGAGACATCCCCACGATCTGGGCGCAAACGCGCCCGTGCATTCCCCCCCTGGCGCCCCACTTTGGGGGTGCGAGAAACAGCACCTCGCCCGAGACATCTTCAACATCACTTCCGAATGCCGAGCATGGGTGGACGGCATCATCATCATCATCATCATCATCATCATCATCATCATCATCATCATCAGTAGCATCATCATCATGATCATCATCAACAACATCATCATCATCACCACCAACAGCATCATCATCAATCATAATCGTCATCATAGTCACCATCATCACCAGCATCAACATGATCCAACACCACCATATGCATCATAATCAGCAATCGCATCATCACCAGCGTCGTCACTCTTGACGTCCTAACCAACAACATCACCCTCCTGCTCATCATCCGCAGCATTAACAATATCAGTATCAGCGTAATCACCATCTTCGTCATCATCGACGAACGTGTGAATCAGCACCATAACCATCATCATCACAATCAAGACGAGGAAAAGGAAGTGGGTTCTCGTCCTCGGCGCGGTCGGGATAAATATTCACTGCGTGGAACCCGCAAGCATGCATCTAGTTGCACGGACCTTTTCCGCCGTCAGCGTCTAGGCGCAAGGGTTCTCGAATATAAACGGGTCTGGGTATTGACGGACTAGGGGCAAATCGACCTGTGATTGAATTCGGCCGTGAACGCAATTAAGTACTATGGGCGAATATATGCGCATGCCTCTGAGTATGTATAAGCTCAGGATGAAGGCATCCGCACGCCAGTGGCCTGAGCATAACATAACTAAGCGTGGCTGAGTCGAAATGGCTACGCGATCCCTTCTTCAACGATGAAGCAGGGAATATGGGTGCTTATGCAGACGCCGTGCGAAACCCATGCGCTTCGTTGGCTGGCCTAGAAGATCTCACGCA